GGCCGGTTTGGACGGTACGATTTTCGCCTACAACTATCGTATACAACACGCTCGCGCCATCCYACAACTCGAGTCGTAGCGTGTAAATCAAGCCTACAACTCGCCTRCGACAGACGCGAGCGTGTTGTATACAATGGTTGTAGGCGAAAATCGTACCGTCTAAATCGGCCCTTAACCAACTACACCATCGGGACGCTGGAAACGCAGTTGAACTAGAAAGTGATTTGTTGGTACCGTGAGTTTTCTCAGGCTTTTCTCTCTTTCAGATTTACATCTAGAGAAGGCCCATAACTTCTCATGCATTAGCCTGCGTTGCCAGCGTTCTGCGGGTTTATAGCGCCGGCAACGCCTGGGCTACTATTCTATCAATTTCTTCCTAAGAATATACATGTATACGGAAGTAAATAATCTAATGATTGCTCTCAAACTGTAGATTGATCGAGCCAGACCATCCATACCAATCGAGGAATATCAAAAACCAAGATCAAAGGTACATACTCAAGTTTAAAATAAATATGATTTACGTTTGTAATATACTAAAATGTTAATTAGGTTCTTTCCTTTGCTATGAACATTTCTTACTTATGAATATTTTCTTTCTAGAAATTATCAGAATTAAGACATCTAATCATTTTTACCGTGACTGTTGTGCTGGGTGCTGATACCAATACCACTATCGCAAAAGTAGACGAGATGTTACGTTTTGAAGGCCAACTTGCAAACGTAAGAGCCGTTGTTTTGTGATGACTTAATCCATTGTCTTTCTGGTTGAGTCAAAATAGCCACAAAAATTGCTTATGTTCCTAGTTCAAACCCAGCTTACATTTTATGATTTTCCTATTATCTTTCTGGTTAAAAAAAAAACAAAAAAAAAACAAAACAAAAAAACAAAACAAAAACAAAAACAAAAACAAAAAAAACAAAACAACAACAACAAAAAACAAAAAACAAAAAACAACAACAACAAAAAAAGGCATATCATTGGTTTAAGTTTATTTCTAATGGAAGTTGTGTTCATGTATATCTTCTGTTTCATGCTTGATAGGTATCTTTACTGGACGACTTATTTCAACCAGGCCCCGTTTTTAACACCAGTCTTCTATATTTTCAGCATATGGTGCCTCAGGTAAGATAACTAAGGTTAATTTAGAACAAACTGTTGTTTGCTTAATTGTTTGTGAATAAATAGCCTCTTCAGGTGACATAGATGTCTCAGCAATGAATTGGCACTCAAAACAGTTACCGATCTTTTGTGCTTATTGACGTCTTTTTGTCTGCAGAGTCAAAAGACATTGTTAAAAAATGTCTAACCCGAACGATAAAACTAATGAAAACAGAAATGGCCCATTTTGTGGACTCTGCTTCTTTTTCGCCTGAGTTCAAAGGGTTTCTGGTTTTGATTTGATTATTTCATAATATATGTCAACTTAAAAAAATGGAACGCTTTAAAAATATTTTACCGTTAAATGTTCTTCATATCTATATTCTTCGTTAAATGTTCTAAATTCAGTAAACAAAGTATATATTTTTATTTATTATTTAATCATTTATTTATTTATGCAATGTTTTCAAAATTAAAAACCTGAGCTCTTAACAGAAACAAGTTCGAAGACTAATTTTTATGAATTACTCCGCGGATACAAACTGTTTTCTAACTCTTCCAACTAGTTATGGTAAATCGCTAAATTATCAAGCCCTATCACTACGTACAAAAAAAGTTTCAAAAAAATGCACTAGAAATTTCGTTGCCGAGCCAGAAATGTCAAAAGAACTTTTTCTGAAAAACTCATGCATTCATTATTTCGTTGCTTGGTGCTTCAAACCCACCTTTAACTTTGCTAATATATTCCACCACAAAATTTGATAGCACACGGAATCATATAGAGGTTTTTTATTGCCTCCTCCACAAACAATAAGCCGAATTGATTAAATAATAAATGAAAAAGGAATGTTTTGCTCAAGAAAGTGGACGTTTGTGGGGAGGAAACATTGCATCAAAGACACTTAAACGTCTGCGTAGGAGGCTATTGATGGTTTTCAACCATKCCCAAGAGAATTAAATAACAAAAGACACGGCGGCCATGTTGGAGGATATAACAAAATAATTCATTGACAATTTTTTTGTTAAAGTCCTCCAACATGGCGACGTGAAAACCATCAATTGTAAAGACAGTAATGACGCTATAATACAAATGCTTACTGTATTTCAGCTTCATAATAATAACATCATTTTGTGTGTATTTTTTTAGTTCGACTGGATTGGTTACTTCAACGAACTGTTTAAACCATTGTGGATTCCTAAATCAGAAATACTCTACCCGAAAACACTTGTCTACCTAAGAAGAGCGTTGAGAATAATACAGAACACGCCAAAAAGGTAGAGTACACAACAAGTTCTATTTATGATAATAACACAAGGTTTGCAACTGCAGCCTGATTGCAGACTATCAGTAAGTTTCTATTTTGTTTTCAGCGTACTAGCCAATTATATGGTATGGTACGTCTTAAGAAGCGAGGTCAAGTGGCTTTCGGTAAAATACTATGAAGCAATGAAGGGTATTAAAGTGCCAAAACAGATTCGTTTCCATTCTTGTGTTTATTCATCTGAGACGTCTTTTGGTGATTTGCTAATGGTTGCATACATCAACGACAACCATACACAACTTGTAAGGTCGAAAAACATGGTAAGTGGTTATATAAAATTCTGGTAGAATTCTGAAAGTAAATGCAATGAAATCGAATAGTTCCCACCGCCATTTTAAAGCACCTCATGAGTAAACACGTAAAGGTCATTTATGACTTTATTTTTGGATTCCTGATTTCATTATTCGATTTGAACATCAAGTAGCCTTTATAACAACTACGAGAAATATCATATTTCTTATTTTCCTACGTCCAATTATTAAAGTTAATATTCATTTAAATATGCGTTGTGGTTTTAGCTTAATTAATTTTTCGCGTGATTGATTTTTCCGACACGTATTTTTCGCGTCCATTTATTAATTTCGCCTTGTTAATGTCGTGAAATTAATGTCTCGAAAATTTCATGTACTGAATAAGGTATTAAAACAACTAGAGAAAATAGTCAAAATTCGGAGCTAATATACAATTCTTTTTACGAAAATAAATAAACTATAAAACAAGTAGATACAATTTTTTAAATAAAAGTTGAATCTGACCTTATAAAAATCAGAAATTTATGAAAAAAATATGTGTAATTTATTAAAAAGAGATTTCTTTTGTAAATTTTAGAATGCCTCTAAAGAGATCAAATCAGTTATTTAGCACTCATCGGAGAACATCTTTAAATTTTTATGATCATTTTGTTAATGCTGCAGTACGTATTAAGACATAATTATTGCTACAAGCCTTTTCCCTACCAATTCTCAACTATATATTCATTTCATTTTGCAAATGAGTTTCGAGCCGACCGTTGAGCTCTTGAGCCACCTTTCAAGTTTCAAGTTCATTAAAACATATCATTAGTTAAATTTTTCATTTCATCTTCGATGAGAGATTGAATTTGATAGACAAATGTAACTATAAAACTGGTTAAAATCCTGACTCGGGTCCTGACTTTAATGTTAGTTTGACTCGCATCTTGTTGCACATGTCGTCCTACTAAATGTCTTTGATTCAGTGGAAAAGGGAATTACAATTTTTTTTTTTTTTGCTACAGACTTTCTTTCTCGTAGTAAATGTATAGGTAACTTTATTTGTGTTTCTTTGTAATGTCAGTAAATTAAATCGAGCATCTTGATCTGCGAAGTAAAAAGTCTCATTTAAGTAGCTTACAATGCCTTTAATACCTTCTAGGACCTCTAGGAAACTGTTTTCCACGTTTAAAAAGCCTTGTTTATTCCATTTACGTTCTCAAAATGGCGAAATAAACTGTAAATATTGATATGCACTATTTTAAAGGCAAAGATCATGGCAAACGAAGAAATTCAAGCTTTTGGAGAAAACGTCAAAGAACTGACTTGGTTAGATAATGCCGCTAAAAGTGAAGCAATTCAAAAGGTAGGTAACAAAAGCCAAACCTATATTCAACACTTAAATTAATGGATGATGATTTGAACATATTAAATGTGCATTTTCTTCCATCTCCTCACCCCCCCCCCCCCACCATGATGCTGATGATCATGACATCATCACTTTGTTGTCTCATTCCTCCTCCTCGCGCTGTGAGCTAGACGTTTCCTGCCGCATATGAGACCAGATCGAACCAGATCCTGAGTTCCAGTGTTCGATAAAACTCAATTCTTTTAATTGTTTATTTTTTCTTTCTTTTTACAGATTAATGCCATGGCTATCCATGTCGCCTTTCCAGATTATATGTTGAACAGCACAAAACTCGCTATCTTATTCGAAAAGTACAGAGGCGTAAGTACATATTGAATGACAAGATAATTTCATGAGATATGATTGGTCGATTTGCGGTCCACAACTTATACGCTACGTACAGTAAAATGAAACGGTTAGCCGTCTGATGATCTTTTTTTTAAAAAAAATGAAAAATATTTATAAAAAATATTTCAGGATAAAAATTTGAAAACGAATCATAAGGCCTTGATAAATTTTGAGTAGCTCACAAGAAGCGCAGTAAGGAAGTACTTGATTTTCATTTCAGTTGAGTATTTTGAAGTCTTGTTAAAAGCGTTTATAATGTTGACAATTTGACGACTGCGTTTTCTTCTGAAGTTCACATTGAGTTGGTTGAGGCCATCGCTTGCTAGTTATGCATTTTTTGCTTTACAATTACATGTTTTGCAGGAAAAAAGCCCCATTTTTGGTAAGAGTTTTTTCCCCAAAAAAACTTTAAACTAGCTAAATTTATTCCAAATGAATCTACAACCTCTCTTTCTGGGCAAACCAAACCTGGATATTTGCCATATAATAACTATATTATTTTGGAACGTGCTCTATGCGCTTGGTCCATAAGGCAGCAATGTAATATAATTAGTTTACAAGGTAGCGTACCTGTAGGATAATTATAATTCTCTGAATATAATGCGCAGCACCAGAGATGCATTTTTCGATATTTTTCGCGACAGTCACACTACACCAGCTACGAACTTATTTCCAGGATACAGAATATATGCTTTTCGGTGCCTTGCCTCCAAGATTTGAGCACATACTTGGTAGCCCTTGGAAAGCAGCCATGACTCTCGAGTATTGTGTTGAGAGACGTTATGCGACTAGGCAGATACATTCATTAATAATGAATCCCGCAGTGTCGAGGATTATACGAAGGAAAACTCGGCTCATAACTTACGGTACAGACCTCGCACTCGGTTACTAAGAGCTATATATTGGTGTTATTGTGGTATATAATCAATCAAACACTCAATAGAGACGACATCTTCCATTACCAGCTAAACATCACAGCAGAAACCTATTACAAAAACAAAGTGTCCATCAAGAAACGACTCAGGCAACACGAAATCAAAGACTTCAGAAAGCCCATAGATAGTGCATTGTAAGTAAAACCGGGTAAATATCTAAAACGTAGGTATTCAGTATCCAGAGTAACCTGCGTGTGTTATCACAGCCTATATATTTTAGACTATGATGGGCTGATATCCGAATGTATCTTAAGGTGAACGAACTTTAAACTTTAACTTTAATTGTTTCGAAATTGCACTCACCCCTAACTCATTACTTTTCTTACTTGTTCTTCATAAAGGTAATATAGTTATATGCTATAATATTCTAAAAATATTATATGATTTGAGGTTAGCTGAGCGTATACTGCTACTGCTACTGCTACTGCTACTGCTACTGCTACTGCTACTGCTACTGCTACTGCTGATCATGATCATGATCATCTACAAGTGAGCTTGAAGGCCAGGAGTAGCATTACAGTAGCCAATCACAATGTAGGGCAGCAAATACGTGCACATCTACGTGCACATCTTCGCAGAAAATGGAAAAAGGGAAGGGGCTTCATTTCTTTTTTTTCTCCCCCCCCCCCCCCCACAAATTGAAAGGATGTTTTAAGTAATAAATGGATGCTAACAAAGCCGTACTTTTTTTCTATTCCATTTTGCATGTTTATGTGTTTGAGCTGGTTCATACATACCAAAAGCACGTTCCGTGAAAACGTTTCTACTTTTTTTTTTCCAGATGGAAATTTCCTCCTCCCCAAGCACTTACCTGGTACTTTGTCGACAGCAATTCATTATGTAATTATTTTTTAAAATAAAAACCTATCAACCATTAAATGTCATCAAATATTTTAATTTCTTTACCAAAAAATCATTATGTATTACACTTTAAAAAACCGTTTACATCATTCTAAATTTATATTGAAATATCCACTGATCAAGTATTTTTTTAAATGAAGATGTTTCAGAAGAATATGTTCGCCCACCACTCTTCTATCATAACGAATTTCTAAGGCAAGTAGCAAGTTTAATTCTTATATTATTTGAAATACAAGATGCTATTAAAATGTAATCTATGTAATCTTAGCATTCGCACCCACTCTTTCCGTTTGTTACTTTGATCTTGTTTTTTGTGATCAATACAACAAACGGCAAGAGTGTACGGGGGCAACTTTGACGCACTGGAGTAGAGTGAAATTTAAACTGCATCCGGTTTCTTAAAAAAATCTTAGATTATACATGTGCGCGCGATATTAAGAAATTTCTCTTTCTTATTTATGCTCTCTTGTTAAATATGCATAGTAGTTTTGTACATTTATTGCTTGCATGATAAAATACTGCATTAAATCACAGATAATGCGAACACATTAGACACTGGTTTTAATTAGGCTAGGTGTCTCTGTGCTTATAAGAGACACTTTTGTAGAGATGTTCCGGTGCAATCTCAGATTTCCTTCAGTGGAAAGACGTTCGACTTGAACACTTTATGAATTTAGTATTCATTATAAAATTATGAGCGTTCTATGTTAGGAATCCAAGTATTATCGTTCCACATGCTCTTACATAGTCCAGAATGCAAAGTCTCTAAGAATAATAATCGTTTGTAGAAGTCTTTTCCTTTTCTATTACCAGCAAGTGTTCGTTAGCGCACGTTCTGATTCTATCAACTTGAGCAAAATAAATAAATAAAATGAGCAGGTCCTACGTACAAACACTATTGCACCCTTGTATGTTGAATTTAACAATAGATGTTAATCTGCAATGTTTCTTATATACACACAGAGCTTATAACTTTGGGATATTTGGTTCTACTGCTGGTCACTTGGCGACGAAAGCTCTTAGCGCAGATGGTAAGTCAATTGAAAGTCAATTGAATAGATACTGTTGCTTTAAAAAAATGTTTAGGAATTTTATTTTCAATATTTCTCATCAGGACATAAACATATGGTTGGATTATTTTACAACATTGCCAAACAAAGAACAAATCTCACAAAACCTACTATATTTTACAATTATTTTGTTGTGTTCCTGAGAAGAACGTTTGGCATCGGAATAGAATAGAAAAGTTGTATACCAATGTAAACATATTGAAATATGCGACACGAGACCTTGATCTCATTTATAGCGGAGCTCCCACTCGGGCCGAGGGCCCACGCGAGCGGAACACCATATATAACAAAAAATGGTAGCCCACCGAGTTGATTTTTCATGGCTTTCATACGTACGTACATACGTCCGTGTACCCAACACAGGGATCCCGCTTGATGTGTTTAATGCTGGATGGAATATAAAACGGAGTGCATATTACAACAAATATTCGCCCTTTATTCATCTTAATAAATCTTTTCGGTTGTCTTTGACCAACTATCGTATGTTTTTTTCTTCAAGAAAAATTCAACTTCGTTCGCCTCCTATCCCGGGGTCCCATCGGCAAACCAAAGAAGACTTTCATTCAATTGGTGTTAGTGTTGCTGTAGGGGACAATCGTTGTGTATGTGTGTGTGTGTAGCACCGGCCTTAGCACCAAATTATCTAAAATAAATAAAAAATTATTATATATCTTTCATGGTGTTGAGTTGTGTACAAAATTCCTAGGCGGGAGATTATCCTTGCGCAAATAAAACGATGTAATGCATTTCACTGCATGGTTTTTATTATGAGAGACATTATCTTCATCTCGAATAAAACATAATTGAAGATTTCCCCCCAAATTTCTTTTTYGCCTTTCAGATTCATTCAAATTGGGCTCAAAAGTGACTTGCATATAGGGAGTTCCGCTTTCAGGGAGTGCCTAAATATATATGTATATATATTTAGTAACCACATAATAAAACAAAGTTTTTTTTAAAGATGTATAGATTACTAAAGGTAGAGATTTAATAATGTGATGCATGTCTTTGTTTCACAGGTAAATATTTTGACAAGGATAGAAAAAGAAGAAATTGGTGGTCACAACAATCGCATCAAGAATTTGATGAAAGACTACGTTGCTACGTAAAGCAATACTCCGCGTACAAGACATTAGGAAAATGGCCAGTAAGAATTAATGGAAGAATTCACACGAGTTGTACCTCAAACCTATGAATAATAATGTGTATCGACAGTCTTGCTAACTATTATATGTTATGTTATTAGATCAACGGGGAAAAAACAGTTAACGAGAATATTGCAGACAACGACGGTCTAAAATTAACTATCAAGGTATATATTGCAAATGCATTTGTTGTAAAACAGAATCCATCGAAGAAATAGGCGTTTCTAGTCGGGAAACGATGTAGTCCTCCTCGCAACCGCTATTAGTGTCATCACGCAGAGAAAGCGTGTTGCGCAAAAACACTGATAGCGGCTGCGAGGGAGACTAGGGATGAGAGCGCAGACAAGGCAATATGACCAATTTTCTTCGCCCCAGTTTTTTGTGTAAAACTCAAGGGCACTGGGGCACTTGAATATTTTGGAATTTTCTAAATATTTTTTCGGTTTATCATATCAATTGTTTTATATAATATTTGTTTACTTATCTTGAATTGTCCTGCCAATCGGTTGAAGTTCGGAGACAAAATCTCGTGACTTCTTCAAGTAATTCTTTTAAGTGACGTCCACCAAAACTCCATTTTTTGTTTGTGATGGATGTCAAGTGGAAAAATGCACCCCCTTTATATATTAAGATGTGCCTTGTACCCTTGTTCAAAACAAGTCATTTATTTAATGAAAACCACGAACAATGTTTTATCTTGTAATATTATTTTGGTTAAAATGTTAACCCAGCAATTTGTACTGGTTTGTAATTAGTAAATATTTTTCAGGCGTATTACAACTGGGCAAAGCGAAATCCCAATGAAATGTGGCTGCTACCTGGACTGAATTTCACCAATGAACAGCTGGTTTACATTGGATTTGCTCAGGTTAGTGACACATTGCCATTTTTGGACATGGGCCCTACTCATTTTATTCAATTTAACAGATCAAAAACATTTTTCCGTGTTTGGTACTCTGATCAAAACACGCGGGATGTTGAGAGAATACGAGAGGAGCGTAGGAAACCACGACGCGTAGCGGAGTGGTTTCCAGCTTCTCGAGTGTTCTCCCAACATCCCAAGTGTTTTGATCAGAGTATCATACACGGAAAACTGTTTTTGATCTGTTTTATAAAATGACAAACGCGAGAAAAGATGGAAGAAACCCAAAGCCTACGTAAATCTCCCTACGTGCCGTCGCGATAGATTAAAATCTGACAGTTGCGATACTCGCACGCGCTAAAATGACGATAGCGTGTTTTGATACTCTCATCAAACATGTTTTTCGACCAATCATAGCGCGCGTAGTATCCCAATAAATCGTTATAAATATGGCACGGTTAGTGTGAATATCGGCCCTAGCATGAACGTTTTTTTTGCTGTGGCTTCCGGTATCTTCTTTTGAACTAAAATGTCTGTTTTCACCTCTGATTAACTTTTTTTCTCTTTGTGGGACACGAGTTAATAACATCGCCCCCTTAATTTGTTTAAAAAAACACATTTTTGTTACTAGTACAGTAGTTAAACGATACATTTGATTTGTCCAATATTTTATTTTAATTGCCACACAAGGGTCATTGTGGTTACACCCCCCCTCAAGATCAATACCATAGGAAGGACTCGAGACATGGAGATAGAAAGTTCAGGTTTGTTAATTATTAGTAAAACAGAAAAGGAATTAAGAAATTCAGAGCAAAAAACAAAACAAAACAAAACAAAACAAAACAAAA